GTGTCATCTGTACCCAAGGTCGGTACACGGTCGCAGGACACAATTCACGGCCCGTCGCTCCACCGCCTCCCCCACCCCCCCACCCACCCACACACACACGCACAGAATCTCCTGATGAGTCGGTGAAAGTCCGACGAAACAGTCTGTGCTTTTTTTTTGAGTGTATAGCGAATATGACAACACACACACAGAGAGAGAGAGAGAGAGAGAGAGAGAGAGAGAGAGAGAGAGAGATCTGCTACCTTGTCACATCTCTATCTCTCTCTCTTTCTGTCTGTGTGTCTGTATGCCCCCAAAGGACACGTACGAAGTGCTTGGGAAGCGTCGGCTGGTAGATGTAGCAGCAGCAGGCCAAAGATAGAGAGGTAGAGAGGGAGGAGGGAGGAGTCCCCAACGTGCCGTCCTGTCCGTTCTGTTCCGTACGCGCCGCAGCAGGCCAAAGATAGAGAGGTAGAGAGGGAGGGGGGAGGAGTCAGTGGAAAGCGACTGGTGGGTGGTTGGGTGCCGAAGTCCCCAACGTGCCGTCCTGTCCTTTCTGTTCCGTACGCGCCCCCCTCCGGCCCCACTCCCTCCCTCCCTTCCCCCCCCCCCCTCTTCTCTCTCTCTCTGTGGTCGTTGGGATTTCATTACTCGATAATTACGGCAGTAAGTTTTTCACATGACATTCTACAACGACGATTTGTTTGAGGGCATTACTCACAAGAGCACTTTGTCACCTGTATGTGGACGTGAGTGTGGCCAGGTGCATCAAGGGCTGAACGAGTCCATGCAGGAACGTCGGCCTGGCTTCCGATGCCCCCGATCAGGTTTTTTTTTTTTTTTTTTTTCCCGTATCCCCGATCAGTTTGGTATCCCTACTGACGGCATAATTTTAATTTTAATTTTTTTTTCCCACGAACAGCATAATGGCCCAGGATGTGAAATCTTTTCCCTAAAGATAAAAGAAACTAGAAAAAAATTATGCTCCCTCATAAATTGTCTCTCCCTATGCGCTCCTGAGGTGTGTGTGTGTGTGTGTGTGTGTGTGTGAGAGAGAGAGAGAGAGAGAGAGAGAGAGAGAGAGAGGAATAGAAACTGGTCGGTAAAGGCAGTACCTTACTGTTTTGGCTTTTTCTGTACTCGTTTTCTCCGGCTTTTTTTTTTTTTTTTTTTTGGGTTCTCCGGCTTTTCCACCTCTGAGAATTTACTTTTTATTTTTATTTTTTAGTCGTTTTCTCTGGCTTTTCCACGTCTTCATCGTTCTCTCTCTCTCTCTCTCTCTCTCTCTCTCTCTCTCTCTCTCTCTCTCTCTCTCTCTCTCTCTCTCTCTGTGTTTGTGTCTGTGTCTGTCTGCGCAGCCTTCTTCTCGTGCTTCTTCAGAAGCGGACAACCTTCTCATTTTCATCATAAGGGGGCCTGCAGCCAGCCGGCTTGTAGTCCCGGGCCCGACTTCCCTGCCGTTGCCTGACCTGATGAGGTTCTCCCTCGCTCCCATACCGTAAGCGGAGCTCTGTCTCTCTTCGCCCTCCTCCTCCTCCTCCTCCGCCTCGTCCTCCTCCTCCTACTTCTCCTCCTCGTGGTTGTCGCTATCGTCATTGCCGTGGTGATCATCATCATCATGATACTGGGCCGTGCATTTGCGCAGTAGCTGCCTCGCCGGCGGCAGCAGCGCAAAGCCGCAATCTGCAGGAGCAGGAGTACGTTCACAGTAGTTTCACAGTACTTTCACAGTACTTTCTCAGCACTCTCGTCTTCCTCCATGGTGATCAACATACAGGAGAGACTGAGGAGGCGGTAGCAATCGGCTATCACACAGCGAGGTGAGGAAGGCAGAGGGAGAAGAGAGGGAGAGGAGGAGAAAAGGGGGGGGGGAGGAGGAGGAGGGTGGTGAGAGGAGAGTAGAGAGGAGGGAGGTGGATGGAGAGGAGAGATGGAGACCAATCAGTGATGGACGATGAGTTGATTATTTCAATTCGTATCACTTTTTTTTTCGGCACACTGGTTGATTGTAATTTCTGGTGTCCCCAGGTGGTCCCCACGAAAAGCTGACATTCTTTGCCAGCCACGTGGCTGTCTCCTTGCCAAACCACGTGATTTCTCGAGTAATAATCCTCTGAGAAGAAGGCGGATTTTTTTTCACTCTTTTGTTTTCATTTTTAATTAATTTACTAGTAGTAAATAATAGTTAGTTTTTTTAATTGAGTCATCGAGTGACTGCTCGTGATTGTGTGACCGTGAGCGACAGAAAGATTCAGAGTTGTCGGAAGCGTTCTGCGTCGCTCACTGATTGACACGTGGCACTGGTGATTGACACGTGGCAGTGATGATTGACACGTGGCAGCGATGATTGACACGTGGCAGTGATGATTGACACGTGGCAGTGATGATTGACACGTGGCACTGATGATTGAGACACGTGGCAGCGATGATTGACACGTGGCACTGATGATTGACTCGTGGTTTGCTGACGTGGCGGCCTCTGGAGTCGTTATTTGTCATTATCAGAATGTCGGAGAGGACCAGTGAGCACACTGACTGAGAGGTGAGAGACTGATTGACACGGATTGAATTTTTTTTTTCCCTCTGGTTCATCCTTTCTTTTTTTTTTTTTTTTTTTTTTTAAATGTGTTTGTCAAACTTGTGAACGGATCGAGGCGATGAATCCGGTCAGATACGTCCGGGTGGTGGCTTGCTGACGTGGCCGCCCCTGGAGTCGGTTATTCGTAATTATCAGAATTTCACAGATAACCAGTGAGCACTGACTAAGAGGTGCCGCTTTTTTTTTTTTTTTTTTTTTTTTTTTGCGATTGTCAAACTTGTGAACGGATCTAGGCGATAAAGCCGGTCAGATACGTCCGGGAAAGTCCTGGGCTGTTCTGACGATGAGCATATCGTTGGTGGTTTTCTTTTGTTTTGGTAAGTGAAGGGTTTTTCTTTCTTAAGGAAAGAAGAGGAGCACAGATTTACAAAAAAAATTAATATTAAAGATTTTTTTTTTTTTTTTTTCTTAAACAGTAGAAAAACACTTGGCGGCTTAGCCTGTCTTAGGTTTTTCTTTCTTAATAGTGTTTTTTTTTTTTTTCGGTCTAAGCGCGGTTTTTCGCTAAAAGAGGGGTTTAGTGGACTTACAGCTTAGACTCTCCCTTTTTTGTTTTTTTTGGTTTAATTATTATTCTCTATCTTTTTCTTTCCTTCTTTTTTTTTCGCTTTCCTTTTGCTGTGTGCTGTTCTTTTCTGTTTCTTTTTGCAAGCAAGCCTTGACTTGCGCAGGTCGATTCACACACTAGCTTTCTCGTAAATGTATCTGACTGCATTTACGGCCGGACCTGGATGTACCTGACCGCATTTACAAGTAACAAATAGTCCTAGTGTACGTATGGCCTTAGTAGCTTGTTTTTAGAGATTTAGTCTAAGCTTTTAGTGTCTAATAAGAAAACTACAAATGCTGAGTTGCTGCCGGTTGCTTCCACTTAGTTTACAGTGTTTTTTGTTTTTTTTAATAAATAATTTACAGTAGTTTTCGACCTGAACTGTCTTAAACTTTACGCTTTTTTTTTTTTTTTTTTTTGAGTTTTTTTTTTTTTTTTTGAGTTTTTTATTTTTTTCTCTGAGTATTTAACACAGTTTTTAGACTAAATCTGATCTATCTAAGCTTTTTACTCTCTAGTCTTCCTCTTCTTCTTCTTCGTCTTCTTCTTTTTTTTTTTTTTGAGCTTGTACTTTGTACCAGTCACTTTTAGTTTTCGAGACTTAGTCTATATAAGCTTTTAGTCTTTTTTAGCTTTTCGAGACTTAGTCTATATAAGCTTTTAGTCTTTTTTAGCTTTTCGAGACT